CCCCCCCTTCCACACATACATGCTGTTTCACAACTCTGCAGTTCAAAAAGACTTAGTTTTCTTTCTCGATTGTTCATCGTTCCGTAGTTTTCTTGTCCCGCAAGACACGGTTAGCCAAACTTGTGTCAAACATTTCTCTCTCTACATAATAATGTCCCTGTGAATTATCTTAGTCTCCTTATGTCCCATACAACGGTCCTGCCTTTCCCCTACCATTAGTAGAGCTCTTGAGGTGAGGAAGGGGGCATAACCACATAGTTTCCTTTTCACAAGTTCATTCCCCTTTCAGCGCCCGTCTATTGTAATTTTTTACTGCATCTATTCACACCTCGTCACCCCCCATTTCTATAATGAAGAGGAAAAAAACTGGGCAGTGCTACTCACAGAAGTTGTCTTTAGGCCATTCCCATAGAGGGGATGTTGACACGTCCTTATGCACAGTAGAATTGTAAATGGGCCAATTTATCTATGCCATGCTCATACTGTGCCAGAACGACATAAAGGGAACTGCTGTTTGTTTCTTTCCTCACCCTTACTATCGTCTTTTTTTTTTGCTCTAGACCTACTTCTTTTGTAGGTTTGTCACTCTCTTGAGAACTGCGATTTCTGGGGTGCCTTGATAGTCGAAGCAGACTTTGTGCTCTTGAGGCTAGAGAGGTGAGCAGAGTAAGCCTAATTCCCCGTTTGGACTTCTCTGTTGGTATCCACCCCTTGGTGACTTTATGCAGTTGCGAGCGCCGTAAAACCTTTCTAAAACAAACAAGCGCCTCCTCCCGCACCCTGCACCCCCCCCCCTTTTGCGTCCTTGTAAATCACAATTCTTTTAGATTATCTATAATATGTTCTTCGAAATGCACTAACAGATTTCCAGTTAGTGGGTGAAATGGAGGAGATAACAGCCTTACAAATGTCTCATACATCAGTTTCCCAAACTCTACCACATTCCCATTCCTCGCCTACCCTGCACACTCCAACAAGCTGGGGGAAAAGTTTTAGTTTTAGTAAGAGTTTTAGGGCACTTGTAACACAATAAGGTCGTATAAGTGCCGAAGATTAGAGATATTACAAGAAAGTAACAAACACAAAAAAGAAGGACGGGAGATCAGGACGATAGATGTTTCATAGGAAAGAAGGAGCAAACCACACCAGATCAGCCGCCAACCACCAACGCTGGAAAAAAGAAAAACTGAACAAAGAC